GCATTTTTATATATAAACGCAGGTATAAGCGGTTAATATTGTACTTTTCACCGCGTTCTACTGCGTTTTCACTCAGAAATGCAGCTACAAGCGTCTATCTTGCGTTTCTTCTGTACATGGGTAGCTTTTCGAGGAGATAACTGTTCTGCACTAAAGTGGAAGAATTGAAATTTCGACAAAAATCCACTGTCTGAGGTTTCATGAATCGGAGAATTTTCAATCAAGATAAGTGATGAACAAAAAGTGTTTTATACAGTTTTGTAAAGGGTCAAAAGCTGCATCTAACCATAGGATTAAGCGTCCAGAACAAACATATTATAACGAGAAAAGTGCAATCTTCCAGCCTCGTCCACAGATTATGACAGACATGTCTGGCACGATCTGCGACAGTTTCCAGGGTATTTTGACATGTCTTTCACAGTCTGTAATAGTACGAGGGATTTTCGACGTGTTGGTCATTGATGGCCTCGAAAACTAAGTTATGTAGACGCATTTAGGCTTTTCAATCACAGTTAAAGTCAAGGAGGAAATAATGTACTCCCTTCTCTTTTTCAAGGTTCGAAGTAGAACTGCAAATGAAATTATTCAACTTTTTCAAAAAAAGTCGTTTTTCGGGTTTTCATCTATCCGCCCGGAAAAAATAGTTTCAGTCCGTATTTCAAATATATTGTCACTATAAAAACATATTTAAAAAAGTAATAATATATTCTGAAACAGCTCGGAGTTTTCTATCACCCTGTATATTTATGTTTTAATTTGCATCTATCTGCTGAAAACTAAATCGAGTGTTAGAAAAGTAATAATAGATTTTGATAGCGCTTAAAATTCTCTATCACCCGTTATATTTATGTCTTCTCTGGCGCTTATTTTCTGAAGAATAAATTGAGTATTACATAGACACCTTCCTTGAGAAACTCTAAATAATTGAATTTTTCCTATCTTTTCCATCTTTATCTCAGAGTTATTATCGCTATAGAAATAACGTTTGTGCGCAACTAAAATACGGGCTGAAACTATTTTTTTCCGGGTGGATATATGCAGTTTTCTTGATTTTTTTACATGGAAGAGTCGTTGTGGGAAATGTTAAAGACATATTTTTAATCAACTTAAAAACTCTGTCAAATAGTGCGTGATTAAAAGAAATCCTCGGATTTCACATAATTTGCATCTTACTTCAGCGTACTGCATCGTACTTGAAATTATTCTTTGAAGTACGTGAAGTTGCTCGTATTTCCCCTTGACTGAATCTCAATGTGAACTCGATATTTCGATCATATTTTATATATCCCTTGGTGTGGTTTACAGCGACCGAATTCGCAGTTCACACAGACTCGCTCATCACTACATTCAAGAATAGTACGGAAAATGACATCGCGGTTTTGTAGTCAATGATACGCATGTCGTTGTTGGCCAGTGGGATGGAGAATGATTTGACCTACCAATCATCTCTGATCAATGACTCATGGATAATCACTCGATATTCGCCCACCCCTTCTGCGTTCAACGTTTGCACCTGTAGTGTAGGCTTTGAGTGTCTTAGTGCTTCAGGCAAGTTTCTGTGCACACATGGAAACAATTGCACAGCAAATACGACCGTTTGGGGTGTACCTGGCTCATTCCATGGCTGCGCTGACTTAGAATGTATCTTGGTAGCCGATCTACGTTGTTACTAGAATCCGACCTGCTTCGACATTGTTCTCTCCGTGTACAATGTTGACATGCCCGATCGACTAGTATTACCTGAAGCTGCACTTGTCATTTCTATACTCAACAGTTTGGTTCCTTCACGCTTCAAGCCGACCGATAGTCTCGCAACACTATTTAGTCAACTGATAATTGAAGAGTGGAACATTCAAGGTGATTTTAATGGCTACTATGAGGCATGTACACCTGACAGTTGCACATATACACAGGTTCAACGGTTGAACATTATCAGCATAATTACGACAATCGTCAATCTTGCTGGTGGTCTTGTCATTACCCTAAGGCTGTTTGTCCAATTTTCTGTCAAATTTGTTCATTTGATAACGACTCACAGCCGCAATTGACTTAATTCAAATCAACAAGAACTGGTCAGATATGAAAGTATGAGAATATCTACGAAATACTTATCAATCGATGGTTTTAGAGTCACGTCTTTCCTCTAGTAGTTCAATTTTACTACATAATATCTTTAGTTTCAGTCTTTTGACTGTTTGATCCTCACTCGAACGTTTTTTGCGTTATTTTACCATAGATCTGACAAAGCCTAAAAGTCAATAATGAAATAGCTCGTCTTGTGTGGGATTTTCTTTCTTTTTTTATTGTTCCATTGAACATTGCTTAAGTTTGATACTCTCACATTCAAGGGTGTCATTTGCCAGTTGCTGCTTCCGAAAACACATAATATTTCTAAGAACAAGAGTCTTTTTCTAAAGACTAGCAATACAGGCCATACACACGAAAACACCTCAAAATTCCTTTGTACATGTTTCTGAAAATATACTCATACGAAGAATCAAAACAAACTTTCGATTCTGTCTATTTTTGTTTTCAGTCAATTTTTAGCATCCAAAAAAATCAAAAATTAAGATACGTCTGTTATTAGTTATTTGATGTTCTTCTACAAAGTTTTATCCATATCGAGCTAAATTGTTTTGTATATTTTTTTTTCTGGAATTGTGGTTTGTGTATTTTATTATTTAAAAAAAGTAGCACAAACTATACGAAGGTGTCCTCCAGAAATTTTCTTGATACGCTGTCAAAACCATCGCTAACGAATAGCAGCAAATTTAGATGTCTGTTCCTCTGCACATCATGATTCCATCAAATACGATTCTTTTTTTCTATTGCCGTCTCTTCGATTACCGGAATCGGCTCATTTACTTTGCGTTTTACATCAAGAAGGAATGCCTAAACATGAATCTCTTCAAAAAACAGCGATATCAGTGGAATGGAGAATGGTTACAATATAGCTTTTGTTGCAAGTCGTATTTATCTTGTACTATTCATTTCAAGTGTTCTTCTGCTTGCGCTCTTGAATGGTTTGCATCAAACAACAGTTTCTGTTATAGTCAAATCACCTACAATCGCTACTTTTGAGGAACTACAGGCCGCTTATCCAACTAGACTTTCGTGTCCGTGTACACGAATGGCTGTCTCCTATCATCAGGTAAACTATCCATGAAATAAATCTACGTGTAATTGAAACAGAGAAAGAACATTTTAGAATGCGTTTGCTATCTCGAATACCTATTTAGAACACTAGAAACTACAGTAGTACACCCTATATGCATATCGAACTAAAGAGAATGATGAGAAAATGTACGTACGAATCTTTTACTTTTATCAATTGACTTGAATCTAGCTCTCAATGAATCTGAAAGTGGTCTCAGCTTGAACGACCTGTCTTGGTCTGCATGCTCTTCTTGGTTGATCGAAAAATGAAAACATTTGAGAAGTAATTCAAATCTATCTCTTGACATCGTATTCTGAATGACTTCAGATCCAAACAGCTTGTTTTTGCTCCAGTAGTAATCTATTTCTGGCATCTGTACTAATCTCATTTCAATTATACTTCCCAAAAATTCGAGCATTTCTTCATTAGTAGTTGGTCTTGAGGGTGTGGGTGTGGGTGTGAACAGCTAATATAATCTATAGATTTCATCCTTACCAAAGGAATCATCAGATGGCAATTAATCTCAATGACTTTTTACAAAATTCACAAGATTATTATATATCTGACATATATATAGAGGATGTGTGTGGGTGGGTGGGTGAGGTGTGGATGTGACTTTCTCTTCAATACACTGACACCCACATCGACACCCACCCACACCCACATCGACACCCACCCATACTCACACCCACACCCTCATGAGGAATTCGAAAATCATATTGGTGAGAAAGAAAAGCGGAACGGGAAGGAAATAAACGTTGTTTGCTGAACATCAACTTTTTTGCTGATTTTAAGACCCTCTTAGTATCTTGCGTTTTTCTCCACGAATGTTTTGTTAACTCGAAAAACTAAGTAGATACTCGTGATCAGCGTAAAAAACGGAATCTAATGATGCATGTTTAAGTAAAAACGAAGAGGTGCTGTAATTTTGAATTACCCGCACCTTACGAATAAGCCTGTTGAGAATGAATGTTGATAAATATATGAAAACTCTCCTTCAAACTATATTTTCATAAAAATTTTCAGTTGCACATGTTTTGTGTCGTCTTTCCAAATATTTCCATGTATGAATACAAAGTTCAATGTCAGAGTTTCAATTCCTTATTTTACTGTAGAGGTTTTAATATCTAGTTGAGAAGTTTTCAAAAAATCACAATCGAAAGTTTTCATTGAAATTTCATATGAGTTTTTTCAATAATAAATATTTCAAGTTCATGCTTGGCCAAGAAGGCGCCTTATAGTGGTCTTGACCCCATTTTGAAGGTCTCGCCTCTGAAAATAAGCCAGTTCCACTTGTTTATTGTCTTGAAGAAATAAACATGCTGGTGTTTGCTTGATGTTGTATTCTTCAAACAGCTCACCATTGCTACTTTGTTCGTCACTTAGAAGAAAAGCAGCTTTATTTTTGAATTCATCATCATCAGCCACAGCATCGAAACATTGCACCATTCGGTCTTCTTCTTCACTAGATCTGAAAGGAGAAGAATGAAACAATAGCACGTTATGGGTATCGATACAATCATCTTACGATTTATAGAAGAAAATCACAATTAATTTGTTTTTACATGGTAGATCTGTCTGTATCCTTTTAAGATCTTTGAGCGATTCAACTTTCTCAGACATGATGAGGAAATATAATATAGTTTGATGTGCCTATCTATAAATAAATAATACATGGATTAGCTTTTTTTTAGCAAAGAAAGGTATCAAAGATATAATAATTTAAGTCAGCACAAAGCGAGACGAATTAGTATGGTTTGTGCTTTTAATATATAATAAGAATTTAGCTTAAATCGATTCAAATAGTACAATAATAAATAGAATTGTCTGAATTCATTTTCATGGCGTGTTGTTTGTTGCTTTCCCAAGTTTTCCAACGACTGATCGTAATTGTCAAATATCATCGCGGATCGTATCAATCGTAGGGCTACAACATAGAATAATTTATAGGAGAACAATAGCTAACTCTTTTGAGATTCAAATAATCGAAAAATTTAACGAATTTCACTAATGATTTGATATGAAACGCTAACTCTTACTATAGTTATAGCAGCAGTTCTAGCAAGGGGGAAAAGGCAGACTTTTGTACTTCAAGTACTTTGCGCTACTTTGTGCTACTTTAGGCTAATTTAGGCTACTTTGCGCTACTTTAAGCTTACTTCAAGTAGAGTACTTTGAAGTACTTTTCAACTTCAAATTCACTTGAAGTTACTTGCAATTACTTCAAGCTACTTTGGACTACTTTGGACTACTTTGAGCTACTTTGAGTTACTCTAAGCTACTTTAAGCTTACTTCAAGTAAAGTACTTTGATGTACTTTTCTACTTCAAGTCTGCCGTTTCCCCCTTGAGTTCTAGGCGAAAATTACTCATACAGACTGAACTACTCAGTAGAGCGATACATTCGGTGACCATTCATACTATTTATACAGCTTGTAGGCAACTTGAATGATATAAGCGCATTATCTTTGGTATTTTCAGATTTACCTTGACTTCACAACAAATCCGCTATCTACCACAGATTTTGCATAGCCTTTCGTTATAATGTGTTCAAATGAATTCCAGCGATGATTCATCAGTTCTGCTTGTTTTGGAATAATTTCTTTCAACGAGAAAATGTACTTTTTTTTATATATATAAGCTATTATCAATTTTTTACTAAAAATTCTTTTTGTTTTCTGCCATCCGCGACCACTGTTTTTAATGCAATGATAACAATTGACCTTTTGGAGTAGTTTATGGAATATATATGTCAGCATGAGCCATATAATTGATAAAATATTCAATGGTGGATATGAAAACAGTGGTTTTGTGAAATATTCACGTACGATTAGATACCGCTGATATTGCCAATGAAATAATGTATTCTCATGAACGTTTTGTATTGTAAAGCTAGAAGCTAAAAATTACGCCTCCTCTTTTGAATTTCCACTCAACTTACCCAAACACAGCTATAAGAAGATTCAACATAAGTATACTGACAAAGAGCATGTGCACTGCTAACAAGGCATGTGTAGCAGCAGTTTCTGGAACGTAATCCTCATCGTTACTGTTAGTTGCGTCTGAAAAGACAAAGGTACACATTTGGGATTACTTTCAAAGCACTAATTACTCTCAAGAACTTTGTCACTAGCACCAAATAAAAATGAATAGGGAGGATAAAGTATTCGGCTTACAATAGAAGGGACATTGAACTCAACTTGCTTAGGCATAAGCATAGCGCGTGAGGCAACACCGTAGGCAGTAATAAGCACAAATATGACGTATAAGAAAGAGGCCAAATCGTGTATCTAGAAAACATGACCGAAGAACTATTACAAAGACTTCATCAGGCAACCTACCATAGCTTTTATCATCATAAGTTTGGGTCCAAGGTAGCTGTGTGAAATCACAAACTTTAGTGACCGCAAATACCATAATTCCAAATCAATAGCCAAAGTAATTCTAAGGGTTGTTCTAGCAATTGGTTGTAAATAAATCAGAATGGCTTACCTTGCCGGGGTTAGTAATTCTGGACGGGTCTTCACAAAATACCTCATAATGATTCCTGCATAAAATAGTCCAAATAAAGCTATATCAAAACTCCTCTCCATCAATAATATCAATTGTGACTCAGCGGGATTGTAGGACTCGTACATTTTTGTTTCGATCCTATGATACACCTAAACAAGAAACATGAATGCAATAAAATACGTATAATTCGTGCAGTCTTTCTTGAATTTCATTTTCATACGGTACGCATATGTAACCTTTGTATAACTTTGTTTCTTCATCAAATGCTACTTAATCCGCAGACAATTAAATGTAACAACAATTGTCGCGACATATTGATGTTGGATGTTCGTTACTAGTGCAGTATTTATTTTATTATTGATCAACATTGAGGAGCTGGATGAATCGCCTTGTCGTTGTTCTTAGTGCATGATGTTCTCTGCACCATGGATTATTTCAATTCTGTTTGACTTTACAAAGGACGTAACCTTATACACGAAAAAGATCGCTCGAGAGACGATAGGCATGAAAAAAGAGTAAATACAGACTAGGGTGAGAAAGAGTGTCACCGGTCGTTACGGACATCAGGTGAACTCGTCTATCTTCGTCAATGACTAAACGAATTCATATATATATATGAAGGTAACCTGATCATTGTCAACACTGAGAGCATTATTTAGATAGATTTTCTGTTGGATTTTGCTAACGATATTTGACATGGTTTGTTAGTCGACTTAGAATAAAAAAGAAAGTTAAAGCTACTTATACGATTTCTTCAATATTCCACACCAAACTACATTGCTTAGTCTTATAAATTGATTATGCCACTGCTAGAAACAGGATATAAGAGAAGACACTATTCTTGCACATAGCATTCGAAGTTCTATAAAATCCCTCTGTATTCGATGAAAGTTGTGATTATTGGGGCATCAATGTGCTTTCATCGTCAGTTTCTCGACCATATAGTTACGTAATATTATCGTTCGGTAGCTCTTTATGTAAAATGCTCAGTAAATCTTCAAGTTTTGTAACTATTGACTTGTCACTTAACGTAGGGAAAACTGAATCAAAATAATCAAGTACACCTACAGAATCTACCAAGGTGACCTATTCTGTCTTTCTTTAATTGACTTTCAAAATATAGACACAGCTTTTATCGAGCACGTTGGGCATTGTAGAGAGTTTCGAAAACAATCCTATCGAAGTTCTGATTTTCAAATTCATTGTTAATCGTAGTGAAGACATACTCAAAGTATCGGAGAATAGCTGTTGCGTGTAAGGAGATTTATTGTCATATGCTATATTGTGAATTGCACAAATTTCATTTCGACACAGCGACTAAAACGCTAAGTTGTGGCATGACTTCCTATCGAGCCACACTTAAAATAAAAACAATACAGTAAACTTTTCTTGGATGATAACGTCAATATCTTAAGCCCCTCGTTCTCAAAAATCAATTTTCTCCTAGGAACGTCCAAATTAGCTGAAACTTTTAGAATATGTTGGATCTTTATAGGGTAGTCTACGATATAAATTTCAGCCTGAAATCTGCATGTTTAGGGAAGTTATAGGTCAAACATGGGTAAAAGATAGCATATCTGGTATCCTAAATTGATTGGCTTTGGCATTTTCAATCGCCTAAATTTTTTTTCATTCGAAAGAGCGTGTCAAGATACAGGGAATGACATCGCCCTTTTTTTTAATTGATTTTTATGCTCCAAAAATCTGCTATATGTTAAAAAGCTCGAAAATTGGTCGAAAAATTGCAATCGAATTTTGTAAGCCACCTTTTTTCAATGTTTAAAAGAATTTGAAAAAAAGTACAATGTCATTCCCTGCATCTTGGTACGCTCTTTCAAACAAAAAAATTTAGGGTCGATCGAACATACTAAAAACGAGAACTTTTGAATAAAAGTTCAGAAAAAAGAATATATTTTTTCACATTCGGTCTTTTTGCATGAGATGATAAAGAAATCCCAAATATTTTGGCGCCAAATAAACCAACCAAGAAATTCTTTTTTGCAGGTTTCGTAGAGCGAAAGCGCGGGCTCTCTTCCCGTATATTTATTTTTCTTTTCATGTCATTTAATAATACTGTTTTTAAACAAAGAAAGTTTTTCTTGATTTTCAAAATCACTATTTTTTTAAGTAGGGTTCGAAGAAGGTCACTATTTTCGGTACGAAAAGAACCTCTCTTGAGAAAAATTTTTAGCGGATCTGAAAGAGCAGAACACGGGCTATCTCCCGCGTTTTTATCTCAGTTCTCGTGATTTTTACGAATACTGACTTTTTAAGAGAGGGGGGGGGGCTTAACATTTACTAATCCCTCTCTGTTCGCTGAAATACCTTTTATCAGCAGCGATATTCATTAGCACGAACTAAACCGTTTGAAATTATTGATAAGGCAAACGAGACCGATCTTGCCGAAAGACATTATTTTATAATCTACACTTGTCTCAAAGCAAGTCTCATATAGTAACATTCAATCGCAGAAAGTACCACAAAAATCTGCACATCTCAGCACATGCTCAACTTTCCACACTACAATTTGTCTAATGGTTATTTGATTCTATAATCTGCGCAAATCCACAACAAAATATTACTCAGTATTTAACTAAAACCCAAAGAATAAACTTCACACTTCGATCATATTCTAATTAAAATCGCAAGGAACAAGTCACAATTTATTCGTATACATGCACTATATAGATGTGCTCAGTTTTCATTTTTGTTCGAGATGACCATGCACCCCACTTTGAGGATAAATTTAGTCAATTTTATTGAGTGAATTCAAACGGCATACTAGTTTTATATTATGTATCTCTGATTATTGATTCTCTACATTACAAGATGATTAGCATGTGAAGACATTTAAGTTTAACAGTATTTAACCGAAAGTCTATCTGGCATCATTTATTTAGCAATCTTTTGTGCGCACTATAGCCTTCAAACCTACTTCTACTAATCAAGCGTACTTCTTGAAACATTGAATACACTGACGTGTTGCAGTTTTTAATGTCCTGAAGTCATATAAAGGCCTCCGAGATCGCTGCAATAGAAAATCTTCTACATTTTTCACACGGTGAGATGTCTTACTAAATTATACTAATGGAAAACTTCATGAACGTTTTATTTTACCTGCAGAATATATTCCAAGAGAATTGCGGTTACTGTTATAATTACATATATTTCTGTCCAATGAGCAGTTTTCTGAGATGTCAGCGGATCAAACTGAAATAACATCATGTAACTAAATACAAGTAGTAACAAGATATTGGCAACCTGTCAAAGAATAAATGTCGAAATAGGTACAAGCATACAACAGGAAAAAGCACTTCTTACAAAGTCATAGAACATTTTGACCATTGGACATTCATGAAAGCTGATAAACCGTTCCCAATAGTATTTGCACGTTAGCCCTTTTGTAGACGAAAAGGGCATATAATAATTCACACCAGAGGAGCACAACCTATATTAAACAATTTTCTCATATCATTGATACATCTTACCAATAGTACATTGCACGATCAAGCTTGCTTCCTCAGTAAGAAGCGAGAAAACAATATGTCGATGTTTTTTATCTTTCATGTACATTCGAACGTCAGAACTTTAATAAGTCTAATTTCAAGCTTCGACCTTTCCACTGTGCAAAGGCTTGCTGCTACTCATTTTAAATTTGAAAAAAACTGTTTCAGTATACACATGAATCATCATCGGTACTACCAACCTGATTCCCAAAGCTTCACTATCGATCGAATTTATGAAAGTATTTAGAATATTCTCTTCGATTAGACTGTTCAACATAAACTGAACAGCAGTCAAAACACGCTACATGGTATGAGTCATGTACGTGATTTTGAGAATTAATAAGGTCGCTTCTAGAGATCTCAGAGAATACGTGTGCCAAAGCTCATTAATGAATTTAATGTGCACCAGAATAAGGGAAGAACTCTTCTATAATCCCAGTGGCATTGACGATTACTAATAACTGTAACTTTACCATTATGCAAATAGCTAACTAAAATAGAGAAAGGAGGTAAATGGTATTCCACATATCAGAGATATTATATCTGATGAGCAAGCTAATGGTGATAGATCGACTGTTGAAAGTTTTTTTTTAAATTCTCTAATGATAATTGAACCAAGGTTAAATTTACAAACGGGGATCGCTGCATCAAAAATGCAAAAATACGAATGACGATCGACAACATACGAGTAGCAGTAATGATGGAATCTGTGAAAATGTGAGCTCTTGGGTTGTCGATAGCTGTATACAGAACGTCACTATGGAGATTTTTCCATCAAGACTACTGTATTGATTCATACAGCTTTGGAACGCTCAATGAATGGTATCTTTGACATAAGAATAGAACCTCTAGAAGCGAGATTATGTATTCCAAGAACACATACATGACTCCTAGTAAGTACCATGATTTGACTGTTTCACAATTCATGTTAAAGTGTTTACGCGAAAACACTTTTTAGGACGTTACTTCATCAATTCGATCGATAGTGAAGTTTCATCAGTGAGAGTGGAAGTAACGATGCTGATTCGTGTGTTTACTGGTAGCTTGCTTTGAACCATACACATTTTACGATTTCACTTCAGGCAATACCGTTTTTGATGAGTCTACGTAAGCATCGATGCATCATCAAAACTCGTCGACGTTGAGCAGAAATTCCATCGTAAGTGAGCTTCTCTCAACGTGTATTTAGTCATTTTGCAGAGAATGAGAGGCTTTTCAATATCTTCAAAAATTGGTTTCATCCCGTTCACTTTCAGAGAATAGCGGTTTGTAAAGCAAAACCAATTAAATTGAGTTATAAAAGATTGATGCGGTATTTTTACGTAGAGGAACTTGAAACTCTTACAATATAAATGAGAACAGAGTTTTAAAAGATTTTGTGTTGTGGCGCTATTAAACATCTGTATTTCGCTGTAATATTGTCGGAAAAGTTTCTACACTGTCTCGAACAGTTTTGAGAGGTACTCAAATCAGAGCAGTTTTTACTCATTGTCGTACAGTTACATACTCTCGATTTTAAGTGTGTAGCAGCGAACCTTTGCTAAGCGGAAAGGCCGAAACTTGAAATGAGACTCATCAAACTTCTGTCCTTCGAATACAGACGAAAGATCGAAAACCACCTGTAAAATATGTTTCCTGGTTTCCACAGTACAGGAAAATTTAATTCCCTATTATATTATTTATTTACACATTTTACTCTTACTCTTCATCATTATTCAATGTTGCTTGGTGCTGTGAATCTTTTGATTGTGTACTGCAATAGACAATAAAAAAAAAGGTGCGAGGATTCCAAAACTTGATCACGGTAAATTAAGCATGGGCTAATGCAAACCATTCCGATTCCACTCCTCTAGTTTGCAGCACTATACATCACTCATCACTCGATCAAAGCAAGCGGTTAGTGAAAATCTCCTAGACAGAGCTTTTTCCGATTTGGACACGTTAACGCAAGTGTTTTGGAGAATGAACCCATCAGTAAATAGTTTCAATATTTTTTGTTTTACATTTTATATTAAGAAATAGTACAGAACAGAATATAGGGCAAAAAAAATAAGAAATCAAAGGAATAAACGGCAAACAACAAAGGGTGAAGATAAAAAAAATACAAGGGCATAATATAAATGAAACATCACGCAAGGCCTTTCGAGTTTCTTCTTCAAGCAAGTGAGCATCGTTTTGGGTCGATCGTGTGCGTTTGGAAGTCTTTCTATACTGGCTTTTCGGTTAGGATCGTCGTCTGTATGATTCGATCGTCATCGTCGATTGGTTCTTTGGAGGTTAAACATCTTTTGATCGTTTCCGTGGTGGTTGTACTGCGGCGATTCATAAATCGTGTGGATGCTTTTAATCTATTGGGGGTCTCTTTTTGCATGAGGTTTCCAGCAGCTACCGGGATTTATTTTATAGGGATTTTTTGGGATTTTTTGAAAGATCCGGGGATTTATTTTGTTCCGGAATTTATTGAGATGTATCTAATAAATCCCGGTATTGATTATAACTTTGAGACTTATTAAGATTTTAAAGATAAAGTCAGATATTTATTGCTCTGCTAAAATTCATAAGAATCTTCTCTTTAACACTTGTTATATATTTTAACTCGAAATAAAACAATGTCTCTCTGCAGGTGTGTATTAAGGAGATCTTTTTAGATTTCCAACTGCATATAAGCTCATATATATTTCATTAGTTATTCATAAATTGAATATTTTAAAATGAAATCGGTATTTATCTAGTCTTAGAATTTATCTATGAATTTATAGTTCCTAATGACTTGATTCCTCTAAAATAGAAACAAAAACGCTTTCATGCATTTTTTTGATATGATAAAATGTTTAATAAGATAAATATATTCCAACGATTTAATACAGCACCAATAACAAACTGATTAACGAATACATAACCAAATAACAAAAAATCACCATTATAAGTATAAAAAAAGCAAGTTTATATGATTATTAAATCGTATGATCTCAATACTAATAAACTGATGTAGCAATTTGCGTCACTTTATTGTTTAAAATGTTTAGCATTTTTTTTAACTTGTTGGAATATTTGTTCGACTTGAAGATCACACTGATTTGTTACACTTTTTGTTCGTCCTCGTTTATTTCTTTCTTTAAATGTATTTGTTCTTGATGAATTTATTTTATCGGTAATTTTTGTCCATTTACAATCAGTAGAATCTTCTACTGTTGAAATTAATTTCGACGATTTTTGTTTGATATCATGTTGAATATCTTTTGACATTGTCATCCACTTGTTATTATCAATTGTGTTCGATTGAGCATTTTTCATTAAACAAGATGAATCTGCAATCAAATCATTGCCGGCAGTAGATGATGATAAATAACTTTCTTGTTGAATGCTAGCTGCATGTGGAAGACTAATAGTTGGAGCATCAGGTACCAAATGTGCCTAAAAATTTTAACAATATGTATTTATTTTAATTTGTGGATATGTGAACTTACAATATTGAAATGTGTTGTTGGACGCACATTACACGTCGATAAGTTCTTGCAGTGAAATAATACAAGTAGATACAATGGCGCTCGCATCCAACCAAGGCTGCTAATAATCGCGGAATATCGCTTAAGCCAAGAAAAATGTTGTTCTGCACATTGAGTATTAATCATATTCAAATCTTAAAATAGTTAACAAGAAACTATTATCGTGTTTTTTGTTTTTAGAAGGTAGTTTTACCTGAGTTAGAATAGGGAGACATGTTTTCTTTACACCAGGTTCCAACATGATTCTTCCAATGTGATTTGTCGATGTAAAACTTCGTCATTTTCAATGCTTCGGAAGCTGGCGTATTGGTAATAAGCTTGCCGACATTTTTTTGTACAAATCGAACAAGATGGCAACCATCATCGTAACAAGCTATGCGAGGTAAACTATCACCACCAACTAAAAGAATCATTTATTATTTTGAAACGGTGAAGGTATGCTTATAAAACTAACTTCGTATTGTGTTAATCATTAATTGAACTATTTCCCTAAGAGTTTCGCTTCTGAAGATTTCTGCATAACTTAAGACTACTTTACAATTTGAGACCTTAGCTAAAAGTCCGAAAGATCTAGAACACTTGTTGACATACGATTCGGACTTAGCTTTATAGGTACCACAATGGGTAGCACCAAAAAATAGATTTTTTTGTCACTTCCATGTTCTTGAATTCCTTAACTTATAACTAGTAGTTTTTCGATTATTTGTTGATTTTTCAGCTGATTTTTTATCAGTTTGATGCAATTCACAATATAGCGAATGCCGAGTTGGTGTTCTCCAGCAGCCAATTACAAGAGGTTCTGTGAAATCACTACTCATGTAATCAACTTGCTTGGTACGACAAACTCTTCGGCGAGCTTTTTGATGACCCTCGATTGTAAAACATGATGAACATTTATTACTTTGCATATTACAAGGACCAATAAGTGTTTTATGATTACACCATAAATATATAAGCCTTGATATAAGACGAGGATACTCTGACCATGCCCAGAAGTCAAATTCATCAATATCTCGTGGAGTAATAACATTTGTACTACCCAAACAAAGATCCATTTCTATTATTTTATATGTAAATACGATTTGAGAAAAGCGACGCATGTTGATTGGATTCTTCTGAGTTTGATTTGTGTTAAATGCAAGATTATTTAGACTATCTGCTGGTTTTTGCCAAGAGTGTGGAGTTGAAATAAGATCAGATGTTTATCGCTCAACAAGTTCTCTTTCACATGCATAATCTCCATCTAAATAAATGTAACTACCATGTTGAATACTTTTTGATGTGAAGTGTCGCATATTTTTTTTCTGCATATAATTAGGATAAAGAAATATTGAATCATCAGGGTGACTTTGACGATTGTTTGCGTGGGAGCACTGCAGATAATAAACAATACCTGTTAAAAGAATATTAACATCAATATAGAGGTATATACATTTTTATTTATTGCAATATCAAAAAATGAAAAATTGCGCACAAATCTATACCCTAATTTAAAAAAATTCTATATGGGAACTAATTATACTTTTGTTCACGGTATATAGGCAGAGAGAAAGATCATCCTTTGTTAGACTATTAGCTCTCTTTTAAGAGTAAAAATTACTTATGCCTAAACTTAGACAACAACAACTCAAATATTTGAAATTAATCAAGATGACATCAACTTTTTTTTAGACACGCTTCAGTAAGTTTTAAATCAAAAAGTTCACATTTATTAAAATAGTATATTTTGTAGAGAATCGGTTTATCTAGATTTTACACCTTGGTTTTAAGCATTCCATTAAACTACAAGCTTTCCTGAAGAATTAGGTTGTTGAAAAAAGACGATGAACATATTTCGAGAATCAAATCTCCAACATCAATATTTCGAACAATTGATGTTTTTGACTAATTTCCATTATTTTATATGATGTTTATTTTTGTTTAGCATGAATTTCAGAAATATTTCATCGTGTTGAAGTTCATCATACGATTGTCAAAAGAACACCTACAAACTGAATTGTCATAGTGCACCTATTTTTGACTGTTTTACAGGAATTGGTTCTTTACACAAGAAACATGGTTAGTTTTTATTTTTTTTGTTACAGCAAGTTTAAATACATTGATTTCCTTTTTCAGAGTGGGATGTTTCTATTTTTTCAATGTTAGTTGGTTTTCTAACTGAGATCAAACATAGAAGGTGTTCGTGCGTGCTATCCGTTTTTCACCAAACCACTTTCTATATGTATAGATTGTTATTTTTTTAATTATCATCTGTGACAAGCAATGGGAATTCGATCACTTATTGCTAGATGCCAAAAACCTAGTTTTCACGCCAGGCTGAGAAAAATCCCAAGAAAAATAATTTAAAAAGCTGAATAATCTATATTTCTTTTAGAAGATAACACTGTTGAATGTAACAAACAAAGTATCATCTGATCTACATAGCCTGTAGTGAAATATAAAAGAAAATGAGTAAAGCTGCTGACCTGGTAAAACTTGTCCATTATTTGTATATATAGAAACTTGTTTTGTACGAGCATTGTCACTGGTAAGAATGCTATCACAAATAGGACATTGACCTGTAAACGGTTCAAGTGGATGCGCTCGTGCATGAGGTAGTAGAATATTATGTAGATTATGAGTGTGCTGAATTTGAGGCATGTTAAATGGATTGGAGAAAAATGAAATAAGAGCACGAACTTCTGATTCTTCATGTTGTGATGGAAAAAATTGTCATAGATGATTAGCTATGAAGGTGATTCGAGTAGGCTCAAGTCTCGATAAACGAGAGTTTAAACCAAGAATAAATGAGACTTCTGTCGGATGAACTATGCGGTAAAAGTTAACTAAAACTTGAATTTCAGATTCGCTTGTTCGAGATGTCATGATCAAAATGATAAAATATAAACCAAATTGAGATGAAAAAATAGAAAATAAATGATTTTCTGAAATAAAGAAAAAATAAGGGAAAAGACATGTATATATGTTCATTCTGCTTCTATTTCTAAGAACAGCATACATGATTTCAGGAAAAGAAAAGCATTTTTTTAAATAAAAGATATCTTATCAATCAACAACATAAAATCTGTTGAAGCGGAGGCTATTACATATAATCGACCCGGAGAACTCCTGACAGATATCGAGAAACAATTATATACTGATGGCTATGAATGATATCGGTAACGCTACAACAACATAATCAAATAAGACTGATTTATAAATAGCAGAAGAAATCATTTTCTTAAATACTTTTTAGGAAATACATTTTCATTTGAAAAAGGTAGTGAGAGTTATTTGTTCATATTTGGTAATTGACGTTGTTTGTGTTGTTGCGACAACTAGTGTTCTTCTTTTTTTCATTTGTTTTCTTGGCTAAATATCTCATGATTTCTTCATCGGTGGCAGTATTTTCAGTATAGAAATTCGTTGTAGATTGTTTCTGGCCGGGAGAAATTGAATCGAATGAAGTTTGAGTAAAAGCATCCGATGTTTTTTTGTCTCTGTCTGCGTTGCAATAGACATTTAAAGTGAAATTGGTGTCGGTGAATCCCTGTTGTTAGTTAAAAACGGCGAGTCTTGTTGAATTGAATTTGTATTTCGATGGTCTACCGTTCCAATCTCCAGTTCGTTGCCATTGGTACAGTGTAAAGATTGACTAAATGACTTAAAAGAAAAAAAGAATGACAGTAGATACGAGCTGATTTTTATCAAGTTCTTTATAGAATAAAAAGCGTACTGATGATGAACTAAGCGACAAGAATGATGCATGATATAGCTCACTGTAGTCAAACACGTGCATATTACCGCCAACAATTTCACCAAGTTGATTAAGTTTTTCTCGATTGTTTTCTTCAGCTGTACATCTATTGAGATCGATTTTCATCTTTTTTAATGACTGGCATGTGTTGATCAATATGTTATGATCAATTGGATTAGTTGTTATCTGAAAATAAACACAAGTAATAACTTGGAATTATTCTGATCATTCGATTTTGGTTCATACGGTAGTTTTTATTGGAGTACCAGGTGAGATTGAGTTGATTGAACGTTTATGGTGAGAATTTTCCTCATCTCGATGTTCATCGTGAAAGAAATTAGTAGTTTTTGTAGCCACTCGAGCAATCATCTAGGTAAAAGAAACTTTTCTAGTAAAACTAAAAAGACAATCTTTCAACCAAAGTCAAATAATTGAATGATAGACTATCAAAAAAAACAATGTATGCGGATAGAGAAGCGCATAACAATAGCTCAAAAGTAAAGATTATCAGTTTATTTTATAATAATTCTTGCATAGGTTTGCTTTTTGTTCTAAAGTATCCCAAGAAGAAATACATAATTTTGTTGATGGGATGTTTAAACGGTTGGCGATCGAGTATCGATAATATTCTCAATATCGAGACATACGATGCACATCTGATTCTAAAAAGAACAATATTAAATAGAATATTATGTAAATGAATCAAATGTAAAAGAATCACATTTACCAATAATTTGTCGTAACTGAGATACTATCAAGAGTCAAATTTAATATGAGAAATATTTACAAGATTGAGAAAATTGAATTAAAAAAAAGAGAGCATCTGATAATTATCAAGAGCAAAGATATTATTCATTTCCAAAAACATGAGAATTATAATAATAGCAGTAGTTATATTCTTAATTATTATAAAGTATCAATATTTTATCGCTTGTATCACCCTACTTCAATCGCATGCTCTTTCTTTAGTATTGGAATCATCACTAAGATACTATCCAATTTTATGATATGAAAATAAAAGGCTGATTTAGGGTACCAATGATATTATTTTACTATTTTACTTTTAAAAATGATATTTAACTAATTTACTGAATCTCTACATTTTCAAGTTTCGAAAGCTGGAGATGAGTGATGATATTTCAAACAATTGATTGTTACTGTAGATTATATGAACGATTTTATTACTAACTTTGTATCGGTCATTTTTAACGCAAAGCTTGAATATGTATTCATGACCAATAATTTTTGAAACGATAGAATTAATGATATTGTCGTCATTCTGAATAAAGAAAAAAATACATGTATATATTCATTGACTTGCAATAATTTACGTTCGTAATGTGGTCTGCCATTTCCACTACTGATATCTGAAAGACTGCTTCCGCCTGTTTGTTAAAAACAGCCACTTGCTGTGTGATGCATGTGTCTGAAATCTCGATCTAATTACAAGATATGACGAGTATGTGCATTATTAAACCATGTATATGCAACTTTACCATTACTCTGTAACCCCATTTGAAACTTTTGTGCATTTTATTGCATTTGATGCAACGATATTGGGTATCACTGATTTCAACAACTTTATTTGTGCAGCCATTGACAATGCACATCTGTTAGAAATACAAAAAAAATACTTTGTGGAAAATGTATGCTAAATTTACTTTATAGATGAGCGACTGTTTATCAATTTTTGTACAAATTCCTTTGACAGAAAAATATACATCTTTATTAGAATTAGAGGCGTATTCAATTATAGCTTAAGTAAGTGTTTTATACGATACTAAAATAATTTACATAATATAAATATGCAAAAAAACTATTCGAACTTAGTTGAATAGAAGTTTATAGAATGCTTGAAGTTAAATACTGTTTAGAATTTTGAGCATGTTCATGGTACCAATGTTTCATATGCTCTGTTCTTTCTGTATCGAACGGATCAATCTTCAAATGTGTGTGTTGTGTTGTTGTAAGACTTCGTGATCCCATGAAGTCATGAACCTTTATACCCTTAAAAGCCATAACTGAGTTGCTATCATTATTGAAATTCCTCGCCTAGAAAATAAAAAAATCCTCAATATAGTGTGATAATAGACTAACAATTATGTGATTGAAGTACCTGATCTTCCCAAAGAGTAACATCCACTGAAGCTGTTTCATCAATTATTTTTATAACTCGTGTAACGTAAGATCTTTTATCAATCGCATTTGTAATAATAGAAGAGTCAGATACAAGATGCACTATACCAATTACATCTGCAAAAACAGAAAGTTAAAGATGAACAATGCATAATGATTTCATAAGAATGAATCAAAGACTTAATTTCTTGTAAACAATTGATAAATCACTTTCAATATTATAGAAAGATAAAACTAGCTGTTAATGTATACATTTCAAGCGCGCAAACTAGCACACTATGTTAGATACAGTGAAGTACATGTATTTGGAATACGATTTTTGCGATGAGGTTCGCCAAATAATCTATTGATAAGAAGTAGTGATTAGCAAAATAATGCTTTTCCCTACTATCTCCATATCTTCATGTGACTGCATTAGGAACTCGCTGTATTTACAAATAACAGAACTCAATCCATTGGTTATATTAGGTAGATTATTGATTTCTTGTTTTTTTCTGACGAGTCTGTTTGTCGTCACAGTTTTGAATAGATTCAGAATTTACTTATGTAAATTTTTGTGCAGAAAAACATGAATAATACATAATTCATTTTATGATTTTTTTTTGGAAAATTCTAATAACAATTAGCAAGTCATTTCTTAAGAAAATCCGACGTAAAACTAAATTGCAAATTAGAGTTTTTCAAGTTAAGTATTTTCTGTTCTGTAAATTCCTTTTGTATATGTTTATTTAATATGTTGAAATAAGTCATGTATAAAAAATTGAAAATTCTATCCGCTTACTTTAAAACAACTAACCACGTAACACACCTATCATATCTTTGTCGCGGCGTGGGGGCACATAGTGCCCCCCAAAGAGCCGCGACCACGGTCCATACGCGTCTCTGCACACATACTAAAATGTTTTTATTGTATATTTAAGGGCATGCTACATAATGTTTTGCAAGCTAATGAAAATTGTGTGGTCGAATTTACCGATAATAGAATTCGTTTGTTGATTTTTAATATTATTGAGTTGAATGAAATTGTATCTTGAAATTGGAACGCTAATGTAGTCACGAATAGAGACATGATTAATGATAGTCTCCCGTGTGAGGAGTATTTCATAATTTGATGACAATCTATTATATCAACGATTGACTGGTTTAACAGTAGCTTTTGTCAAACTATACGTCTATAAAAAAAATTATTTTGAATGAGCAGTATTCTACGAGCACAAAAACCAAGGGAATTTTTTAAATCATTTTACTTGTCCAATTTCAATTATGGGGAAAAAACGACTACAGTCGCTGTTGAATGCTGTGGCTCGAATTTCGTCAGCTTCATCAAGTAAATCAAATGAAAAAAGTGTACCTTCACCACGAGATGTTTTGTAATAGTGAGTGTTAGTTTTGTTAGTCACAATGCCCTGGATTGTCCACCTTGATTTAGATAAGACCTAACGTAAATCAATGCTAATAAAGTTTAATGATGAATATTATACCCGGTTTTACATTGACTGATTTGAGAAATCGGTGTTGGATTTTTATCTTCAACTTGCTCTGATGCAGATTGATCATCGGTTAATTCTCGATGAAAGTCTTTGGAAGACAAGAGTTCAGAATGAACCAAAATTGGTGGAGTTGTTGAAAATGGACCGAGGGCAGGTGATGTTGTTAGTTTGTTAGATTTTTGTTGCGATTCATTACGTGTAGAATGGTAATAAATTCTGTTGGCATTGGTTTCAATAATATCGACATCATTTATTATCAACATAAGTCTACAACAAGGAGTTAGAACTACATATACAAGTAAAATAGATATATATAAAGTAAAAACTAAGCAACCACCAATAAATAAAGAGTAACATGAATACGAAAGTGAAGTGGATAGAAATCGCAATGCTAAGGTAAACGATAAAACTTAAACATAAAGAAAGATGTTAATAAATTCAAAACATAAATATCAATAGGGAGATGAAGAATACTACTAGCACAACATTCATGATACTGATTATTCATGCAGTGTAATATTTTTTTTCATATTAGAGAATAGCTATTTAAAAAGATGAAAAAGAAACGTATCGAGTTTTATGATGTCATCTCTTAATTTAATAGCTGAAAATTGTATTCTCTGATAGTTACTGTTAATATATCTTAATCTTATCCAAAAATTTTGTTTTGCATGGAAATCAAACTTCGTTAGCTGGAAAAGGCAGTTTACAATATGCCTTACCTATTGGTTGTATCGTCAAGTACATCAGTAACTATTTCTTTTATGAAAATAATCGTGTTTTCTTTTATTGCAGCTGATTCAACCAAGTGGTTTAACGATGTATTTAAAATACATGCTATAATTAGACAATGATGGGAATGACTGATGTAATCATGTTGCTAATATTTCCATACATGAGTAATTTGATATTCCATCACATATCGTTATGCGATAGTGCACTGTATCCGTTTCATCATGCAAACTGTCCATTGCTTTCAGGTTCTATAAAAGAAAATGAGTTTGGATTTTAGATGCAACAGATATGTATATATATATATAAAAGTCGGCAAACTATGATTTGCATCATCGCTTTTCTGTTAGTATTGCCATTAAGATAATCCTGAAATTAATAGTTTAAAGTTAAACGAGTAGAGTACAATCAAATAGTTCTAACCATTAAAGCATTGGTAGAAAGTTGAACTGGATCAGCGTTCATTATGAATAGCTGTGATGATTATTATCTAATTCTAATTTAAACGATCAATAATAGATATTGATGAATTTGACGCAGAAAAACAAGAATTATTAGCTGAACAGAAGAATGAAGTTAAATAGCAAACATCTGAATAATTATGTATCTCAATGTATAAGAGATTATTGTAAAAAAATATTGGATTCGCTTATGATAAATAAGGAGAACATTTTACTACACGTATGTGGTGTTGTGAAGAGATTCATCCCTTGTTTTCAAAGCATTATATTAACCGAAGAGATATTCATGGGATCTGGAAATGGCCACTGTATGGAAAACGGCATGTACTTTATTATCATTATTATTATTTTCTTTCCCAGGGTCTATTTATGTATTCGTTGGTGCTGGATGATTCTATATTTTTTTCTTTAAAAAGCATGCGTATACATCACCCAGAATATAGAGGGAGAGGGAGAGGAAGAGAGAGAGGGGAAGAGAGAGAAAGAAAAGAAATGTGCAATGCGTAAATATATATGAAAGTACCCATGCGTTTACGCTGTGTAAAATATGTGTACCCCTCGCGCGGTCACTATATGTAAATATATATGTGCTCGCGTAGTCATCTTATATGTAATAATCGATAAACATTAACCTAAGATGATCACACCATAAAGATTGTCGAGGGTATCTCGATAACAGTAGTGTGCATGTGTGTAGTTCTTTAATGGTTCAAAAAAACATCAAAGATGATGCATCTTCTATCCATCTAGGTGTTAACCTGCATGATTCAAGAAAAAATTATATGTTTGCTCCTCGAGAGGATATTCCCCACATTGAATAGAAAAGCTTGTGGAGAATATGCATGATATATGTACATTCACTGTTCATCTAATTTAATTAATAGATAATTTTTTTCGGTCGCATGTATTTGTCGATTATATGGTAACAGTATAAATCAGAAAAGGATGTTGTTTACTTTATTTGATATCTATCACTCTATCAGTGTAATCATATTTACATGCAACAATGCTTGCAAATTTTGTATATTTACAGAAAGATGATTTTAGGATACTTTATCAGATGAAGCCTATTAGAATAAATTTGTATTTTTCTCTCGAATCTAGAAGTATTTGTGCACTAATTTATTGTATTGAACAAGTTTTATTTATCCTTTATACTGAAATTTTAAACTATGTCAACAGCACGTAATATCGTTAGTGCAGATGTATTTGATCAAAATCTTGAACACGTTGCATTACTATCCAATGAATTATTACCGAGCGAATATTTTACCAAAGCTTTAGCTGAATTTTGTGATCATGCAGCATATCATAGTGATGTGCACTCAATTTCTATGCCAATAATTTTACTCAACATGGCAGCTACAAGCACCGAAAAAAGTGGTATTTGGCGATCAAATGTAGAACGTTTTCCTTTAAATCTGTATAGCTTGTTGGTAGGAAATAGTTGTAAGTATATTCTAAGACAACACATGAATGTTCATTAGTAATCTGACTACAAAAGCTTTTATTTGAAGTAACAATCCTGAAGAATAGTGTATTGGAAGAGAAGGAAGTTAATATTTTTTATTGAGATTATCTTTCGTAAGAACAATAAAACTCTAGGCGCAATTGGTGAGCAGTAAGATTCTGTACTAATTACGGGTATGATAAAGTCTGCAGTCCTTTTTAAATGGTTTTACAACATTGATTGATATTTTAATAAAAATAATTTCACCATAACGTTGATGATATAGCTGAAGGAAAGCTCCTGTATTTAGATTTTTGTATAAAATAGATAATTTTAGTATAAGCACATATTTTCTCACATATTATTTAACTTTTCCTCAATTATTAGATTAGTTATAAGAGCAATATATGTATTAAGTCACTCGACATTACTTTATTGTACATGCGATAAATGTGTTTTCTATATAGAATTCGTTTTACAGAACTTCTTTGGTTAATATTCGAAAAACATATTTAACAAAAATGTTAAATAATCATCACAAAAATAATCTTTTTAGCTTTTGGAAAGTCAAAACTCTTAAGATTGATTACATATGGTCTTCAAGTGATCAGTGATGCTTTTCCACACAAGTTTCAATCGAGTGCACATGATAATAGCCATAGTTTTCCGGTGTACAAGGATGCAACATGTGCTGGAATTATAGCTTCAGTTAATGGTTCTACTCGAGTATTAATATCTGAAGAAGCAGATGTATTGTTACCGTCGATAGGTGCTGTCTTACCATCACCGTTCATAAATAAAGATGTACCTACGGTAAAATCTGAAGCAAGAGTTGAAATGATGAAGATGTTCGATGGTGATTGCCATATGCGAAAGTTGAAAGGGAGCATATCGAAAATGGATAGTTTTAAACATTCTTTTATTGTAAGTATGTCTCCTTGATTAAGTACATATCTCAAGTCCTTTTATAGGGAGCAAGCAGTGGCGGTGTAATCGTCACCGCTTTACAGAGAAAGTCTAATGGATCTCAAGTTGATGCATTTTTTGAACGTCTTATTATCTGGTGTTTACGTCCAACGCCATTAATGTTTGTGCCAGAGAGTGAGAAGAAAAAGCCAGAAATGCACAAGTTTCCATCGTTTGAAGAATTCTATGTTATTTTGGGCTGGTTTGAAAACTTTGAGCTATATTATGATGTTGAAAGTGATAAAATGATGATGGATTACGGAGTCCTGTCATTATTCCAAAATTCTAGAATTCTCGTAGAATTCCGAAATGAATGGCATAATAAAATTCCATTTTTATGAATTGTATTGTCGTTCACATCTTTAACCAACTGGAAGTTTTGGAACTAATGGAATTTCAGAATTATTAGAATTATGGAAATTATCAGAATTTAGGAATTATTAGAATTATGGAAATTATCAGAATTTAGGAATTATTAGAATTATGGAAATTATCAGAATTTTGGAATTCTGGAATTATTGGAATTTTAGAATTATCAGAATTATTGGAATTATTGCAGTTTTAGAATAATCAGAATAATAGAATTATCGGAATTTTAGAACTCTCAGAATTTAGGAGTAGTACCCTCACCCACACCCACACCCCACATTCTTATGGTCAAAGAAAATTTAGAAAAAATAATCAAAACTTTTTTATGCACAGATCTTTAAATAAATATGAACTACTAAGATGTATCGTAAGGGTAACCATGCAATAGTACCAGCGGTAATAGCAAATGTTATGCTTTAACGCGCAATATCAGATCATAACGTCGTTATATCGCAATATAACAGACATAGCGGAGCGCTAAAATGGGTCACAGTGCGATCGCAATAGCGGCACAATAACGCCGTTATTCAATCGTTATAGACGACATGGGCTGTTCTTTCATATCACTTTATGCGAACTTATTCAGAGTCATATAGAACATCTGTACAGTATGATACTAAAGCTTCTAATATTTCGATAGTTCGCATATTCTGATCATTATAATACTCCTATAATTCTGATAATTCCAATAGTTCTAAAATTCCGATAATTCTAATATTCCAATAATTCTAAAATTCTAAAATTCTGATTATTCTAATAATTCTAAAATTCAGATAATTCTAAAATTCCGATAATTCTATTAATTCTATTATGCAAGAACCGTGAAAGAGAATCGTTAAGTATGGAAGTTGATTATAAATATGATGATGTGAGAATTTTACTAGAATTCTAGAATTTTGGAATAACGACACTGCTGAAAAAAGGCTATGGTTTATGTAAAATGGCTGCCAAATATGAATGATCCAGTCGAATGTCAACGCTTTGAACAGATTCTCGGAACTTTTAACGACGATCGAATTTCTTCTGATTCAGTTATTACCAGCACCACGTCAGTTTCATTATTACCACATAAAGCTCAACCACGGCCAATAATTTTAAATTATTTAAAGAATGATCGATATGCTCGATTGAAACTTGAATCAAGTGCGAATGAAGTCGGATCAGAAGGTAATCTTCTTTTTATGGAAACGCTATTGTTAATTATAAAATGAGATATTTCTTTATTTAGGTTTGTTTGATGTCAGTGGTGCAGAGGAAGACTCGAATAGTAGCAGTATTTTTCCAGCAGGCAATTAGAGTTGAATAAAATTTAATTTTTACATTAAGTATTTTTTTGCAGGTTTATCAAATCCAAACGAAATATCTTTAACTGGATTTTTTTGTAACTTTGATAAAAACTCTATAACATCGACAACAAGTGAACCTCAAATTCCTATTATTAATGACTCGATCATCAATGAGCAACGTGTGATTCTATCAAAAAATATCAATAATGATAACTGTATCACACAAGAAAACATGGCTATTACTAACAATAACCATTTCGATGCAGAAAATCCATTTGATAACAACGAATTTATTGATACAGCAGCAATACGTATGTTTTTGTAATGTTCGTTTTTCAATTTGTTTCATGTGATTCTATTGTCTAGGCCGGTTATGTAATTGCTCATCAAAGAGAAAAAATACACAAAATGAAGAATGCTGTGAAGATGAAGATGGCATTCCACTTCGTCTACGTATCCGTGCACACAAAAAAAGTGATGGACATTAACTGAATGTTAATTTTAGAGCATTCTTATTGTGACATTCTTTTATCGTTTATAAAAAATATCGAAGTACCTAAAAATAATATATTGATGTTTGAATCATTGAGATTGAAATTCATTTCTACAAAGTGAAGAAGAAAATTATAATTACATAGATTTAGAAAAATTAGAAAGCATATCGTTAAATATGCTTCTTGATAGTTTTGGTAATATTTGACATATTACTTGATATTGTTTTAGCATAGATAAGTATTCTAGGTATTAGTGATTGTGATTAAAGAATAGACTCATTGAGCAATCATGATGTTACTGAACAATATATTTTAGATGAATCATAAGAGCGAATTAGAATAGAGCAATGATTACGTGTATATATTTATAAATACTGCTATAGGCAATCAAATTAAGAATGACAGTACAACTACACTATATGAAACATACAAGTGATTTTCTTGTATCATTCCACAATAAACTTATGTAATATAATGGAGGGGAAAATTTAAATGATTTTCTAAAGTGCATAAGCAATATAGATACCAGGATCTTTATAGTTACTAAGAAAAAATCACACAATCAGATATCAAAATGGATTCAAAGTCATCTTCAAGGAATCTTAGGATAGAATGAAAACAGATTGAGAATTAGAAAGACACTTGATATTTTTTTAAAGTTTATTAGTCAATTTACACCAAGGAAGTAATGAATTATGTGTTCAGCTTTTTTTAATCATATAATTATGATGCTTTGAGACTGAAAAGTTCATGAGTCAAGCTATGAATAAATATCTACAATAGTAAATTCATTAGTTGACATATTTAGTGTAGAACAAGCTTTGTATAAATTAAAACGTGTATTTTGTACGAAATCGCATTAGCGTCATAATTTCATATGACTGGTAATGACAGTTCATTTATTTTTATTTTTCAATAGAATATTGTCTGCAAGGATTGTTTTAAACAAGGAAACAGAAATTTAAAAAATAAGATGGTCATGTTAGTATTAGTTTTGAAAATAAATAAGCTAGTGCTGTAATCAGTGAGTCATTCGATTTTACAGACTTTTGTAAAAATCTAGACAAATTATACTGATTTTGATGTTCAATTAAATCTGCAGAAAGAAGCACTGTTTATAAGAGGCACATAAATGGTCAACTCTATGAGAGATAACTATGCTGTATGAGAACTAAACAACTAAGCAAATAGTTTTTATTATAAAGAATTTCATCACTGGAGGCACACGTAAGAAAAATAAGATTCAATATATTTCAGAAAATTTTCACTGATATTTGTTTAAATAACGAATAAGTTTGTGTAAAATAAAAATTTATGTGACATATCTTAAAAAGTGTAATATCTATTATCATTTTCATTGTAAATAAATTGTGTATTCAATAAGAAAAAGGCGATACTGTTTATTAAAAACGAACGCAAAGTAGAAAAGATTCAGTAGCAAAACTATTAATTATATTAAATATAACAACATAAAAAAGATACATAATAATAATAGTAATAATAATAATAATAAAGTATTTTCATAATTATATATGCTTACTTATAAAGATATTTACATATGCATCAAAAGGAAAATGTCCCAAAATTGTACAAGAACATCGATGATCGTTATTCTCCATGTATTTTTTGTTCAATAATATATTATTACTGGTTTGATAGTGATTGTTAGGTAGTGGTGCTATCTGCGACCACTATCTCTCTCTTTGTTCTAATATCTTCTATTGGTAAAGAGACCTACGTGAAGTTGTACGGGAAGAGAAGTTAGAGTTGTTGAATAAAGTAGAAACGTTAGTGTACAGACTAACAGTGATGTTTATTTCTGCTTAATAATAACCCACTTTAAACAAACATATCATCAATGTAATAGCCTGTATCAGACTATATTCTAAAATAGCTGTTTTAACGAATAGAAGCAGTTATAGTATGTATGTCAGCATTTTTACCAATTTTCATGTATAGTGAATTTGTTTTCAGTTAATAATAACGGTACATTATCTGTCTTTCATGTGTAATTTATAATATTTCTTTAATGAAGGACAACAAACTATTGAGAAAAAATTAGGAAATCGTTCGTAACAAGTTCAAATTGATCACACTTATGTTGAACTTCTAATTATGCAGCTTAATCAAAAAAATTAGCTTCGCTATTTAAATATCAATCAAATATTATTTTTCACATGAGTGTTCAACTGTTCGATCATAAGATGAGAAAAAAATTATTTTCCGAATGGTATAAATATTGTTGACTAAAACGTAGAAAACATATGATCGATATCAAACTTGATTGTATATAATTATCACATTAGAACGAAAGATAGACAAAAGTATTCTTTTTTTTAATGCTAATGCTTACAGAAGTTTAATTCATAAAAATTGAAAAATCCCAGCGAATGCTACGAACATAACGAATCCCAGACATCAAGTATGATATTGCAAATAACATTACATCTATGTCTATAGAATAATGCTTTCAGGCTTTGGATTAAATTTAAATATTCTTTAGGATGCAATTTATAGTAGTTAGGTTGGATTTTCAATGTATAGGCAAGCAATAAATCAGTCGATTTTTACAAATATTCAGGTTGACTTTATCATTTTCTTTCTTTTCTAATCAAACTATTTTCATGTAGCATGGGCTTAGAACAATTAGAAATAAGAGAAAAATATGACTCTTACTTTGAAAACTTTACTAGTTGATATAAAATTTTTATATTTAGGTTTATCTTTTTTTAAAATTTTGTTGTCGAATTGAAACAATCATTTGACGAAGATTCTTTAATTTCCTGAAATATTATCCTCGATTGTTTTTCTAAGTAAATGAAGTGACTTGGTCTCAATACCAAAATCAATTTTGTATTCGACACGTATATGAGAGAATACCAAGAAAACAACGAAGAAAAAGGCTAACGTGAGCTGATACAAATGTATTCGTCGAAAAAAGAAAAAAAATCATTAAGGAGTTCTTTCCAAGAGAATATTGTAATACACGTGATTAAAGAATTATATATTCGAAATAGACGCAGTGGGATTCCGTTATGCATTTTCTACTTGTCACAATTTCATAAAGAACGGAGATGAGTGTTTTTCGACTGAGTTGATCATGAGATAATGCAAGTTACAAATAAAAACGAAAGCTTGCACTTAGCTAGGATTTGAACCTCCGATGCACGAACTGCGAAGCGTTCACTCTAATCACTCAATCATTCGGTGTTGTTAGATAATATAAACATTTATAAAGCAGAGATAGCTAATATCAATCTATCCTGCTATGTGCACAATGGATCCGCTGGAAAAAGAATCGATCCGCTGGAAAAAGAATCGATCCGCTGGGGATCTATTTAAGTTATACAAGTGATTGCAGGTTCATAAGCACAAATATATATATATATATACATCGAATAGATCCGCTTACAGATAAAGTATTCGCTAAGAAATTATTCAATTTTTTAGAGGCTATATGACAACTACTACGTTACAATAATATTTCCCGAATAAATCCGCTGGATATATTAGATATATGAATAAGTCCAGCTACATTGAGATCTTTTTAAATAAAACTAGCATTAAACTTGATTATTGTACAATATAGAGGATAAAATAAATCGCAAAAGTAAAGAAAAATCCAATAAATCCCAAAAAAATAAGTCCCGGTAGCCCCTCTCAATTTTTCTTCCTCACTGAAATTGAGAAACTATTGATTAATTGTTTAGCATTTATCTACTTGTTGTTATATCTTTCGCTAAGAATATCAATGCTTTTTGGAAGAGTGTCAGCAAAATCTGATTTAGGCCGTCATTGAGCACCTGTATCAATCTGTATGTATAAATGTTGAAACTGAATTTCTTCTCTCAAAATGCACTTAATGAACGATCATATGTTTGAATGTGCGCGTTCAATACGTCGATTAAGTCGGTTATGAAAAACTAAAAGCATAGGCATCGAAAGGTAACATGATAGGAGAAAGGTTCAGCATACCCTCGCAAATATTATTTGTGCGATGTTGAGAACCATATACATTTCATATTTTCAATGATATATTAGTCCTCAAGTAGCTTTCGGAGTACAGAAATAACTGATGAAGTTCTTGTCTGACTCTTGCATTGCATGTTGCGCGTAAATTATAAAATGTAGTTTCAACTTCACTAAGCGGCATTAACGCTAATGCCTTCCATTTGCGGCAGAAAGTTCTCATTTCTTCATCTTCTGTATAAGCTGTACTTAAATCCATAGTTTGAATGCGTCTATGGATAGCTCGTGTATAATGAAACTAGCAACTTTTTGCTGAGCTTCAGGAAACTGAAATAAAAAATAAATAACATATCTAGTTCTAGTGAGAAGGCTGGTAGATTTTAGTTCAGCAGATATCGCGGGTACTAAACCGCTCTCAAGGTCAGTAACTATTTGATCAGGTTTAAATATTTGATTCATCGATGCAGCCATGCTTTTTAATTCTTGAAATAATTTTTGATAGGTTATTGGTTTTCAGTCCGGCAAAAGGTCAAAAACACAAGGAAAACCTGTCAAAGAAAAAGAAATGAGTCTTTTTGTAGCCTAAAACATTTGACATACTGCATTTAAATCGTAAAGCATGAATAGTAAACACTTGACCAAAAAATGGCGGTGTTGCTGAAAATGTTTCGTCCATAAAAATACATGGACTATTAAATAATACTTCCAATTGCTTCGGACTAGCAAATAGCAACATTCTCTTCCTATGAGAGACCATTGTGTCCGGAAACAAAAATTTTCCCTTTTTAGTCGTGAATTGATAACAATTAGGAATATCGAACATAGCCGAAGTAGGAAGATTAGGTGTTTATTTTTTTCGCACCTGTATTAGCGGTACTAGGGATGGCACCTTACCTTTACTTTAAAAAAGTAACTAGTAACTTAAATAGTTACTTTACAAAAGTAAATAGTAACTAAAGTAAATACTTTACAAAAGTAACTAGTAACTAATGATAATTTTTCAAAATTAGCTACCTGGCTGATGCTGATACTTTTTAAAATAGCTACCAGCTACTATATTTGTTATTAACAGAAAACTAATTAAATGATAAAATTTATATTGCAGGTTGAACAACGTGTGGGACGGAAATAGTCGGCTCTACGATACTACGAAGATTTCATGGAAGCACTACTCCGTTGAGCGGATCCATCGACAGGATCCATCGGGTTTCGCCCGAAACCGACAGGAATTCGTCATAAACAGCATGCGAATAGGGTAAAGGAATCCGCATCGGATCCCTGATAGTTACGGTTGACTTCAGACCAGTAAGAGCAAGCTTTCTGACGGTTTCACCGGAAATTCATAGAAGAGTGCTTCAGAAATCATCATCCTGGGTTAACAAAAATATAAATTATTTTCTTAATTCAGTTTAGAATGAAACACGTCATCTAGAAGATATTAAGACACAACAATTCCATATCTGTAAACTCAGATTATTCAGATCATGATATTGTTTAATCATTGATACATGAGCAGCGCCGAAGTCAATACCGCTATTACTACTGACAGTATTGAGCGTCTTCTGTATTTGAACCGTTTCCATCTCAGGTTAACTTGCTCACAAAAGAAAATCGACACTTGGCTGATTATTCTGAAATTCGAAACCTGAAATATATTGATTTTATAAATTTTTTAAGCACCTTACTGATAACTAAATTACCCTTCCAATCCCGCTATAAAATGAGGCTTTATCTTTATTCAACTGATAACTACGTATCTAATTTAGTTACAGTAACTAGTCACCAAATTAGTTACTTTACAATAGTAATTAAGTAACTAACGTAGTTACTTTGCCAAAGTAACTAGTAATTAAAGTAATAACTTTACTATAGTTACTTTTATAAAAAGTAAAGTAAATTTGCCACCCCTAAGCGGTACACTTGCCATCAGTTCTGATAAGAATTTAGTTTTATTAAGCTCTTCGTCATATATTTTAGTTATTTGTGTTGTTTCATTCATAGCACGCTCCTTGAGTGCACAAGGAAACTTTTGAACTTGATATCTTCCTGTTCTCGGAGATGATTATGTTCACCACTTGTATTCAACAAGTTAACATTGAGATCAGTATGAACATGGGCATTACAACTGTTGTTCCTGCAACCCAATATAGTTTACATGACGTTTGCTTGTTAATTTTGTAAATAAAACCGTTTTGAACTAGCACGCGATGACCCTTATTAGAAGCAAGGAAAGTTTTTCCATTTTCAGTTGTCGACACTATAGAATTAAACGATCGAGGAATAATATAACGAATGCACTTGAATATGTAAAATTACGCAAAGTATATATATATTAGACTATCAAACAATGTTATCGCTGTTTTCGTTGTTTGTTTTGTGTTTTCACTATTCTAGAAAGTGTCTTTGAACTACCCAGGTGAATAAATCCGATAACGGAAACTATCGAATCTCCTCGGATCCAATCATCCGATCAAATACGATAGGATTCCGGGCAACGAATCTACTAACGGATCCGACGGAAAAACCTAATTAATTAATTAAGCATCAATAACTAGTCAGTAGCAACATTAGAGATCAATTAGAACGAGGTGTGGGATTCCGTTGAATTCCGACAGTGGGGTTCTATCGGATTCCAACACTACAGCTCCGTTAGTCGATTCGTTGCGCGGATTTCTGTAGGATTTCGTCGGATACACAGAATTCCTATAAAATCCGATTGGATTCCGGTCGGATCCGAGTCGATCCGATTATCGGATTGAATGTCCTGGGTATAATTCATTGGTGAAAACTATTATCTAATCATTAACATTACTATAAACGATCGATACGGAAAATAGAATTTTAATTGAGCAATCACGGCATCTTATGATTTCGATATTTTTAGATTCCGATATTTTACAGTTCAATAGTTTACACTTTCGACATTCTATATCTTTGATATTTTTCTTTCGATCAATATTCATTCGGTTTTTATCTTTCGACGTTTAGTTTTTCGAAAGTTTTTTCTTTGGCATTTATTTTTTCGATATTTTTGTTTCCACATTTATTCGTCGATATTTATTTTTCGGCATTTTTTGCTTGAACATTTTTCTTTCGGTATTTTTACTACATACCGACTAACACACCCGTTCTTCTTTAACCATGAAGAAGCCCTTTCTTGTTCAAACCCAAAGTAAACCATTTAATCTTCCAATCCAATCTCTATGAACGCAATTGTATTTTGTGTTCATTCCTTCGTTCATTTCTCTGACTTCCCCATTATTTATTTCCATTCTTTCTTGCATACGAGTCCAATTTCTTCATTTAATCGTTTCTGTCCATCCTTTTATGTACAATTCACCCTTCCATCGCTTTATTTACTGTTCTTATACGCATATTCTCCACTTGTCCAGCTTCTTGCACCTATCGTTCTACGCCCAATGCATCCTCACATCGTCTTCACGTACAGTTGTTCCGCGCATGCTTCTTACCTATTCATCTGACCATCCGACTCATGAGCCTCATAATACGTATCCTCGGTCTGAACATTTAAACTCTCACAATACGTAGAAAGAAAACTGCTATATCACAACGCATGCACTAACCAACAGGTCAATTCAATCAATCGACCAGAACATAAAAGAGACACTTGACCACGAAAGCGCAAGAAACCCCATGCAAAAAGAGACCCCCAATAGATTAAAAGCATCCACAAGATTTATGAATCGCCGCAGTACAACCACCACGGAAACGATCAAAAGATGTTTAACCTCCAAAGAACCAATCGACGATGACGATCGAATCATACTGACGACGATCCTAACCGAAAATCCAGTATAGAAAGACTTCCAAACGCACACGATCGACCCAAAACGATGCTCACTTGCTTGAAGAAGAAACTCGAAAGGCCTTGCGTAATGTTTCATTTATATTATACCCTTGTATTTTTTTATCTTCACCCTTTGTTGTTTGCCGTTTATTCCTTTGATTTCTTATTTTTTTGCCCTATATTCTGTTCTGTACTGTTTCTTAATATAAAATGTAAAACAAAAAATATTGAAACTATTTACTGATGGGTTCATCCTCCAAAACACTTGCGTTGACATTCCCGAATTCAAATGAAACTCAATAGCGTAGTGAACTATATTATCATACATCTAACTCTTACTCTTTATCTTGATTCGATATTGGTTCGTGTTGTGAATCTTCTGGTTGAGTAGTGCGATAGGAAACATAGAAGGGTGCGAGGATTCCAAAACTTAGCCAAGTTAAAATAAGCATGTGCTTATGCATACCATAGCGATTCCTTTCGTCAAGTTTGCAGTACGATGCGTCATTTATCACTCGATCAAAGCAAGCGGTTAGTAAAAATTTCCTACATTTAGCTGCCACGGCAACCTAAGAGGTACCAGAGAATAACCGGTATTTTGTGAAACGTAATCAGATATCACGTACTTGAATGCATGTTATATTGCCAAATAGCGTTATTTGTCGTAGAATTAGCTCACAGGCTCTCTTTTCATCAAGTTCATAACAAGCATTGATACAGTTTACAGCGTATAATTCAAATTCTTCTGCCGTACTTGTCATGGTCTGTTTAAAATGAATAATGTTAGTTCTTTTTGAGAATTCTTTGTATACTCTGGAAGCAATCAGTGCTGCACAGGTTTTAGGCTCGAGATAAATGAGGAAAACTTTAGCCAGCTCAGTGCGACCCATAAATACAGACCATAGGAAGAGATCTCGTATCTTTTCTTGTTGTGAATAATCCTGTTTTTTATCAGGAAAGTTCAAGTTAAGAAAAATTTGTTTTAAAGCGACCGGCGTGTAAACGCGTCTCGGTGGGCATCTACAACTCGTTTGAAAGATTCCGCGCCATGCGCCTTTTAATCTGGCCAAAATATTTGTTATTGAACTTTCGCTTTCTTCTGAATACAAATTCTGCATAAAATGCCCAATGAATTCTTTGCAAAACTCGTCAGCAATGCCAAGTGGTTTATTGGAACCAATATTCGTCGTTTCCAATACAGAAGAAATATATCGTTCCTAAAGCAGGAGTATATGATACTTCTCTAAACAGCTATTAATTGAAAGTTCTTTACCGTGTGTGGTGTTTTCGAAATAGTTTCATATAAAAGCGAAATATCTTCACGCTTTAAGTCGTTCAGCACATTATATCGAGACCGGAGAAAATAATCAGCCAGCTTAGGACTATCATTTTCGAGTGAAGTAATAAATTTTTTCATAATCTCTTTAGAAGATGGCTAAAAATATAATTTCAAAGTTGCTGTGAAGTTTGGAAAACGAGAAACTACCAATTTTTCAGCACTATTTTCAAACGGAGTAATTATCCATTAACTCAGCAAATGAATACCTTTTATCTTGGATTTCTTTTCAAAACTTCATTGTAATTATGATAGAATCTTGCATAGTAAAAGATATTAATTTTTCTTTCAGAATTTGGGTAGTGTATAAAATAAAACTCAGCTCTACTACTGCATTGAAAATTTGTATAAAAATCAAACCTATGCGAGGGCAGGATACAAACTTCATAGTTATTAGCCCTTTTTCTGCTAAGTAACTGCATCTACTATTTCCATGTGTTCATATGCCAGTACTATCTAAAGACCTAAAGTTAAACATTCATGACGCGCTCCAATGGAGCTCGAATTTTGAGTAATATAAAACGTGCCATAAACTATCGAACAAAAATAAACGGTTTAAACATATTTTGTTTACAGAGAAGAGCCTAGCTGCATTTTCTGTTAACTAAGAAAATAAAATTAATTTCACTACAACATTCAACTGCATTAAAGTATAGTCAATCGTTTCTACTTTCGAAAGTCTCTACGTTTCAAACCCAAATGAAGTCACTTTACGCTGAAAAACTGAAAGTCGGTTCGCAAAACATTATTAAAATGGAACGATAAAGAAATTGACCTCTGTGAGATTCGACAAGTCATTTCAAACAATCATCCCATCTTCGATTTTCTCATTAAAACTTACAAGACCATTATAGTCTAGTGACATCAGCAACAAAAATCAGGGTAATCTTGTTTGCCATATGCAAAATGAGAAGTAAGGTGCCAGTAATGCAAAAGTCGAGTAAAATTTTTCTTTTCAATTTTTTGTATGGTTAAATAGAGTTTGCCGAGCTCTACAAAACTGTCACTTTCGATTTTTTCAAAAAGTCTTTATTGAAGAAAAATTTTTAAAAACCTTGTGTGCCAATAATGCATGTATATCCTTTATTGTTCACATATTTGGTGTCCGTCTTTTTAATTACCCTTTGGGACTGTCGTGCAGACAGGGCTATTACTTTCTCATCAGTGTTATAGAATGTGTTATTCTCAACGGATGTTGTACAACCTACTACTATCATTAATGTATCTGATCTTCTTCTAAATATTATCCGTATATCATTGCGAAATGTGGTTACGTTTTTGAACGTAATTAATGTAAGGTGGAAATGCCTATCATATATTTTTTCTGTTCTTTCTTCTCTCTCTCTCTCTCTCTCGTGTGCACGTATATAAAGCGAGTACATTGTATTATACATCAGAACTGGAATGTAGAGAGAACTGAAACAGAACTAGAACATTGGAGAATGGAGTATTGTAACTAACATCTTATACACCGAGGATAGCGGTAACGCTACTCTTCCAGTTTCTCTTTGTGATCACAAATAAAAATTAAGACTGCAGCAGTAACGAATATAAACTATCCTTTTATCATCAAACAAAATTCGTTACGCCTTGCATTTTTCTATATAATAAAAATTGTCAAATTTGTAAGAAATATATGCACTTTTCAATAATATTAAAGCGTGCGCTTTTTAAAAGTATATCCATTCGATGCAGCGTGTAACACTGCATATCTTAGCATAGTTTTTGAATTCATCCAATATAATATTCTGCAAACATTATAGGTAAAATGGCACATCCCTCAAATAACTGGTTGTCTTGTGCTAAAGAAACTTCAACTTATTTTTTATCTGAAGTTTACCGCTATGTTTTTGCATCATTTTAATCGTAATATGACGGAGAAAAAAGTTACGCATTCTTTTGACGCAAGTCTTTAGTGTTCTTACAAAAATCGATTTTTTCCATAACAGTATCTGAAAATGTTCTAATATCAGAAAAATGACACTTTGTGTCACTTATTTGACCATAAATAATTCATTTTCATACAAAATAATTATCATTTTCGAGATCAGCACACAAAAATACACTAAAAATATTATCTGTCTTCAAAAACAATTTTCTGACGAAAACTACCTTGTGCTGGATTACGGGAAACAATTTCCTTTGAAAACCCTGTGAGGAACCACAAGGTAGTTTTCACCAGAAAATTGTTTTTGAAGACAGATAATATTTTTAGTGTATTTTTGTGTGCTGATCTCGAAAATGATAATTATTTTGTATGAAAATGAATTATATATGGTCAAATAAGTGACACAAAGTGTCATTTTTCTGATATAAACTAAAGACTTGCGTCAAAAGAATGCGTAACTTTTTTCTCCGTCATATTACGATTAAAATGATGCAAAAACATAGCGGTAAACTTCAGATAAAAAATAAGTTGAAGTTTCTTTAGCACAAGACAACCAGTTATTTGAGGGATGTGCCATTTTACCTATAATGTTTGCAGAATATTATATTGGATGAATTCAAAAACTATGCTAAGATATGCAGTGTTACACGCTGCATCGAATGGATATACTTTTAAAAAGCGCACGCTTTAATATTATTGAAAAGTGCATATATTTCTTACAAATTTGACAATTTTTATTATATAGAAAAATGCAAAGTTTTTTAAAATTTTTCTTCAATGAAGACTTTTTGAAAAAATCGAAAGTACCAGTTTTGTAGAGCTCGGCAAACTCTATTTAACCATACAAAAATTGAAAAACAAATTTTACTTGACTTTTGCATTACTGGCACCTTATAATTTCAGAAAATTAACCAGACCATAGACAATTATCAGATACAGTGTAACATAGGCGTCCGACAGATATTGAGAAAGTTGACGAACCTGATCTGGATTTGCTTCAGTGTCTTCAAACACACGCTGTAGTCCCTGAAAAGATTTCCAGGCTAGTGATAAATCTAACAAATTTAGCATGTCGATTGACGAAATATTCCGATGTGGGGACTGGCCATCACGATTGTCAGCATGTGAAGAAAGTTTCGCTTTTAAAGATAGTACGTCTCAATTATATTGATTTGCTCATGTGTTGTTTAAGCTCAACTCACCTTTGAAAATCGCATTAAATATTGTTTCGGCAACATTAACATTCTGATTTAACGAGTATACACTCAGCAAATCACTGTATTTCACGTCGATAATTTTCCTTATCTCGTTGGCACACGTCTTTAGGTCTTCTTCGTAGTCTTCTTTTTTCAGAGACTCCTTGTTCGGAATTTTTTTTTTCAGCACCTCCTTGATTTTGTCTTTTGAAGCACTAAAGTTTGTGAGAACTTTATGCAAGAATGATCGAAAAACGTTGTCTTTTACTTTTCAGCATCTGGCGTCAGAAAATCACAAATTATATCAGCCATTCTACCGCTACCCTAAAGAATAGAAAATCAAAGCCAAATACTTGATCAGCTTTTATTACCTCTTTCATACCCTTATGATTACAACTGGAAGGTTCTTTTCCAAGAAGCGCCGTATTGTATATGGTGTGTTTAAACCTCCTTCTACAATAACAGTTATTGTATAACCTGAAATAAGAAAAACCGATGGTAACTATTAGACTGTTTTCTTATTGCCTGCTCACAGTTAGTATTGCCTTTGTTTTTGAGCGCTTCTTCCAAAAATTGAGTGGGTTGATGGTCCCCTAAATAGCCATATTGGGTAGCATCATCGAACAGAAGCATGTATGCATGATGTGATTCCACTGTCTGCTGGTTATTTGAACCCAACATTTCTGGTGGGTATGTATACAACTCGCTAATTGGATCATTGTTTTCAGGATGTAACTGCTTGCGAAACTAAAAGAAAATATTCTATTTACTCTAGTTTTTATTCTCGATTGACTGTTCTACCTTTCCCGATAACAAATCTCTCACATCTTGGCTGAGACTTCCCCATTTTGTGAAGCCAATGCTAACTATGTTTTTTAAATTGCAATGCATTACTTTTGCTTCTGAAATCGCTTGGCCAACCAGGTTCACAACTCCACTGTTTAAACCAGCAGTCAATATCCATCCGCCTTGGCAAAAGAAGAAAATATGACATCCATTCAGTTTTAGTTGTGAACAAGTCTCTCATGTATATGTATATGGAATTGGCAGACTGGCCGAATATTCCACGCTACTCTTCACTGTATAGCTACTATTCTATAGATGTCACAATACTCAGACGTGAGGTAACGAGTATCTACCGTCAAAATACCCATGAAGTCGCGAGAACAACTTTTTGGTGTAATGCATTTGGATTACGACATATATACTATGACTAGGTGATGAAAGTTAGAAATTCGAATGAATTTGTGTAACGACTTTTAGTGCTATGACTTTGGTATCTCTCTATGTAAATCTCTGTCCTAAGAGAGATTTGACCGAATTCACTAAAATTCCTCAACTTCCATCATATAGTCATAGTACAGATGTCCATAGGCTAAGTCATTACACCAAGTTCACTCAAAATCCTCAACCATAGGCATAGTCTCTGAGAATGCGCTATGACATTTATTGTCGTAGAAAAGTTGTTACCGGGTGTAATTGGATTATCTCATCACTCCTCTTTACTACTATACTGTGATTGGTAAAAAATTCATAAGTTTTGGTCAACGAATAGAAGCCGCACAGAGATGAATAACTTGGGATATCCAGCCAGACTGACCAACCCCAGAAAGAAATTCGTACTCTATTCATATGCTCATACTTTAGTTGCAGACCTGCTGTCGTTGAAATACTAAGGCTGTTGACTCATGCGTTCCGTAGATATGTTAACCAGAAGGTGTATGCCGTAAGTCTTTCAAATTTTATTGTGTATCATTTGTATTAGCAGAATATAGTTCCACTTTTGTCAGTGAAATGGTACCTTTCTCTGGTTCGGATCTCAAAAATTTAGAAAGAATCTGATCACCACCAAGCCTCGCATAAGGCAGATATGAATTTAAAGTAAGTTAATCATTCGGTCGTTATCGAATCCGGGGCTTATTATAAAAATGAGCGAAAAATTACTAAACTTTCTTGACAAACATTCTTGTACTACTCAGAACTTATATTTCACCTTTAATCTAGTAAAATTGCCCAAAAATAAATGGCTCCTTTAAGTTTTTATTCAAATTAGAATGCATTAATTTATGATGGAGTTGAGACATCAAGTTTGGGTATATGCTAGACTCAAATTGATAAGTACGCTAATTTAGATTCGCTATTTTTTCTACAGCAGTACAAACAATGTCTTCTATAATGTTTGCTACCTATTATGATTTTTTCTCTTGTTCCTCTTTCTCTCATTCAAGATACAAATTAAGCATTACCAGCGCTCGTCGCTGCTTCAATGATGCCATTCATGAATGCTGTTTCCAAATGCTTATCCATTTTAAAATTTTTTGTACCACCAAAAATACTTATTATCAAATTTGGCTTCTTGCCATAATCATTACATATCAGGTCGTAGAGTGCTTTTTGTGGTATATTAATGTCGCAACGCAAAAACTAAATGAAAACAAAGAAATCTTCACCGTGTACTGAATTGAAATTTGTTGGCTTTCAGCGTCATGAATTACAGAGCCATAAGCACCAGCTAGAATAGATGCATGATATCTTAAGACGTAGGAGATTCAGGATCTAGATTCACAAATTTCCTCATTGCAATTACCCATAAGTTTTACTAAAAATTAGAAAGTATCACGACAGTACTCGATGATCACTATCGGTTACACTACTTAGTTGTCTTCTTACATCTTTTCATTATCCCAAAAACCTGAAATACGCTGAAAAATTATGCAAACATCAACACTATCCCCGAAGGTATTGCGGCGATTCACCTAACGGCTATATCGAAAGCTGCAAGCTATATGTAACGAAGGGACTTGGTGAGCTCTATCGAATGAATACCTTTTTAACTGGATTCCATGCATTCTTCATCACTAAAACCCTGAGAATTCGGCAAAACTTGAATTTTCCAAATGTTTCCTCTCGATACTCGCCAAAACACAAAAAGCAACCCCATACCACGATAGAACTCAATGCACTCTGTCGAATAGTCACCATTTTGGCTTAGTTTGGTACAATGATCACCTGGGAAAGGGAAAATCCAGGTCTACACCCATGATTTCTTTTCAGCTCTCTTGTTAGCTCTTGTTAATTTTTGATACTTGAAGTAACATGCACCACAATCTACTGAACTCTACTCACAGCTAATCTTCTATCCCTGGTTTGGTTATGCCACCGTATCTTGGGGCCTCAAATTTACTACGTTTGTGATGTATATTTCGCTTCGAGCAATGAATGAAAACGTACATCAGTGATACCAACTTATGTATTTATTTTCTATTTCGCGAAAATCACTAGAGCGGAGGGGAGAGAAGAAAATTCATCGGTGCTCGGAACGAAGTACAGTCAATAACGATATAAATGACTCAGAGTGACGAATTATTGTTGACATGAGGTGAATGAGAGAAAAAAAATGAATGAATTCGACGAAAAAATTGTCAGCTCGATGTTTTTGCGATACTGAAGGCGTTTTTGAGCTGATCCTTGATTTTCCATATTGGGTGACGAAAGTAGATCGAGGCCGAGAAATCTGAATTTGATGTAAGAATTGGGAAAGTCTGAGGTTCAAAAAATGTCTTTGAGAGGAAGGACGCATGAAATCGGGCTTAAAAGGTATCCGTTCGATAGAGCCTTTAGAATTCTATCGGGGCATACCTTTTCAGTTTTTGGTATAACCTATGGGCGAATCCTGCGGCGGGAAAACCCAGATTTTCACGAATTTGTGCGTTTTTAGCGGGTAATAGTGAATGGAATCGAACCAAAATCGTATCTATTTTATTCAACTCAATGAGCTCTATCTTGATATAGCTTTATCACTTTGGGTGTAGCGTATGAACAAATTGTGCGAGACACACACGAATCTAGACCCAGGATATCATACGTCTTTTGATATCTCAACTGATATACTACACAGAAGCCAGAATTTTTTGTGTAGCTTTGTTAGTTTTGTACATTTAAATATATATTTTTTGTAAATCTTTCAAGAAAATTGCAATTGATGAGCAGTTCCAACTGAAAATGATTGGATCAAGATTGACTTGACCATTAACGGTTGTTTTCTAAAGCCTAGCCGTTTTATTTTGATTTGGCTAACAGCTTTGTTTATAGCGTATGCGTGTCGAAAAAGAAACTTTAGAAAACAGTGAAATATTTACTCGAACCATGCTATTAATGTACTTCCAACATATAATCCTAAAGATTGATCCGACAATCATCTCGTTTCACGCTCGAAGGTTTTGTCAAATTTTTTCTGCATCGCAACCCGTACGACACATTGTAGAATGACTTAATGACGAATTTGAATTTGTGACAAAATTGAAAATCCGTGACAGTGGGTACAGTGCTATATCGCTATAACGGCATAGCGATATAACATCATGCCATTTATACCACTCATAAGACTATTTAATTTTGTCGTAAAAAATCCTTATTAGTATTTAATTTCGATGTTATAGTAAATTCCGATTCCCCATCAATCGTTTAGAATACAGTGAACAAACCGGAAATATTTTTCTTTTACCTTAGTTAAGCAGGCTTGGTGCCATTTGTAAAGAATACCACAGCTTATGCCATCATCAATCCGTCCTGAACAATCTGTCATAATCCATCGATCCCCAGCATATGAGCTTAGTTCGCCTTTGTAACTGTGAGAGTTTTTCAAACGACCGCAGATACATCTATTCGTCTGTTCAGTATCTGATATAGTTTGATCCTTCTTAAATAGGGCACAAGTGTAACGATGTTTATGATCCTTAGTCGCTTCGGATACGGCATTACGCCATTTGTCATATAAATCTTTGCAAGATGGCATTTAATAGTTAATCCTCTGAAAGAAAAGCCAAATATATGTTGCAAGTTTGTAGTAGCAGAATTAAATAATCAGTTATCGACTTAGTTCGTAGTACGAAATTTCATTGCATATTTCATGAATTTCTTGAAGAATATAAAATTATCTTGAACAGAAAACAACATAGTATTTATATCAATACAAACATTTAATGCTAGACGGTTTAGTACATAAAAATGCATATATCTGCCTAAAACGAATTGTTAATGATAAAGAAAAATGAGCAAAGTATAAAGGTACGAAATTGTTACTGTAATTTTAAGAAACTGTTAGCGAGAAGAACACTCATGATGAGAATGCTGCTGCTTTGAGACGTGGAATCTAAATAAGGTAACTTAAGTTGCACCTTCTATATAGGTTAAAGCTAATCAACTTTGAGGACACGCGATTATCTAGAAATGCATACTAGTCTACGTGTTTACCATCAAATTCATCAATGACGATACTCACATATTGGTATGCTCGAATATATTCCACGAATGGAATACTTCACAAGAACAGACGATTATTAATAATCATTTGCATTGAGGAGTTTGTATTTTTTGACCAGCTTCAAAATAATGGATATTACACGAAAACTCTTGATAAAACTAATACAGAATCCATCTCACTAGTATAGCAAAATACATGCGAAAAGATAGAAGAGAGGCACTGTTTTTTCAAGTGTAGGCCTTCATTAATTGATATTTTCTGAATACATCGATATTTATATTCTATTCAATGAATACGCAAATTCACACATGCTTACCTTACCTGTAACACTGAATGTGAAAAAAGTGGGAAGCGATGTGGGGAGATATATCATAGATAAGTTGTATTCACTCGCTATCGAAATCGTGTTTCATCGAGCGACGCGATGAAGGACGAATCTTAATATTGTATTTAACTGCAGATCCGAATCCACACATGTTTACCTTACCTGCAACACTGAATGTGAAAAACGTGGGAAGCGATGTGGGGAGATATATCATAGATAAGTTGTATTCACTCGCTATCGAAATCGTGTTTCATCGAGCGACGCGATGAAGGACGAATCTTAATATTGTATTTAACTGCAGATCCGAANTCGAGCTACGCGATGAAGGAAGAATCATAATATTGTATTTAACTGCAGATCCGAATCCACACATGTTTACCTTACCTGTAGGAAAAAAATGAGATAGCAGTGAGAAACCATGCGAGGATGTGCTTTTGCATGAAGAAATCCATTCATTGCCGTTAGGGGTGGCACTTTAACTTTGCTTTAAAAGTTAAAGTATCAATGTACTTTAAACCTTAGTGAGGGTGTGAGTGTGTGAGGTGCCGGTGTGGGTGTGGGTGGGTGTGTGGGTGTGTTTTATAGCATACTACGACG